TCTATTTAAAGAAAAAACCGAGGAATGGCCTGACGAGGTTGTCGCAAGTTGACCGGCTCTATAGTCTATACTCTCTATTTAGAAACGATGCCGTTTGAAGAAGCGCATTGGCAAAAAGGGTACGTCAGATCACCCTCCTCGATCGAAGCTCAAATCACCTCACTCAGTTTGGCGATTTCTCTCTGTGGAACATCAGATCACCTCGCTCCTCTCTTCTATTTCTCTCTTTTGAACCTCAGATCACCGTCCTCTCGTCGCCACCTTCGTCCTTCACTCCCTCCGTTCTTTGAGATATCTCTCCATCGTCTTCACCCTTCAGCTCAGAACTTTTAGTAGAAAAGGTTGCCACTTTCAGCCGAACGCTCTGAAGGTCTCTTCGTTTTCAGCGACCTACGGTAATTTTTTTAATAAATTGCTAATTTCACTTTCAATTTGTTTTGTACCGTTGAGATCTGCTACTCGATTTCAATTTCTGATTTTCAATCAATAGCTATTTTATTGTTAGTTGAGACCGACGCAGTCTGAATCTCTAATTTCAATTTCAATTTTACCTTGACATTTGGTTTGTGAGAGTCCAGGTCTAAAATATTAAAACTTTTCGGTAAAATCCAGAGAGTTAGAAATTGAAAATGGTCAAGGTAATGAATTCAGTGCAATAGAACAGGTTTTGAAGTTTGACATTTTAGGGTTTTTTTTTCCCCCCGAAAATTGTAACATTTTGGTTAAAAGTTACAAATTATTGACTACAACCAAAGATAAATTTCTTTGCAGCAAGAACTAATCATATGAAGAACTTTCTTCTTATCGTCCTTCGACCGTTGAGAGAGTCACATTGTTCAGAGAGCATCTCTGTTGATCATGCTGTGCAGGGGACTCTGCATCTGTTGCAATATTCTGTCTTAAAGTGAAAGCAGGTTGTTTTGGACGAGGAAGATCCACAATTTCACTGCTAAGCATTGAAATGACTGTGGGCATGTTAGGTCTATCTTTCGCAAATTCTTGCACGCACAGCAATCCCACATGTATGCACCTTAGAACCTCCTCACGATGGGATGGATCGGCGACCATGTTATCAACCAAAGCCACAATGTTGCCTTCATTCCACAATTTCCAAGCCTGGAAAGGGCAAAGGTTAGCTTCAAAATGGGCGGGGAAGAAAGGCGAATTAAACATAAGGCTGGTGAAGGAAAGAGCTTAACTTACATATCCCACAAGGCTTAAATGTTCATCATTGTAAAAACTGGTGTTTCTTCTCCCACTTACAATCTCTAACAATAAAACACCATAGCTATATACATCGGATTTCTCTGAAAATAATCCTTCCATCGCATATTCAGGGGGCATATAGCCACTACATTAAACATCGAACAAAAACCATTATTGTTCAAGCATTTATAGTGATGTTATTGGTTTGAAAAGTATTTTGGTGTAAGAAATGTCTACTTACTATGTTCCAACAACCCTTTTGGTATTAGCTTGATCTTCACTATCCCCAAAAATCCTTGCCAACCCAAAATCTGAAATTTTTGGTTGTAATTTTTCATCTAACAATATGTTACTTGCTTTTAGATCTCTATGAATAATCCGCAATCTAGAATGTCGGTGTAAATAAAGGAGACCTTGGCTTATTCCTTCAATAATGTTGAAACGTTTTCTCCATTGTAGTTCTTTTTTGGGCAAATCTATATAGAAGAAGGAAATGTTAAAAATAGAAGAAAAAGAGCAAGGATCATTATCATCAGAAATGAATGTTATAGACATTGAAATAATCCTTCACCGTTCTACTTTGGCTCCTAATTACGATTTTGATATTGATATATATATATATATATATATATTTTAAAAAATCCTTATTTGCATTGTATAACCAAAAAAGAAAAGGAAAATCATGAGTCATGCTCTAACCAAACAAATATGTGTCCAAGCTGTTGTTTGGCATGTACTCGTAGACCAAAATCTTCTCTTCTCCCTCAACACAACATCCTAGGAGTTTTACAAGATTTCGGTGTTGGAGACTAGAGATGACCAACACTTCGTTCTTAAATTCATCTACCCCTTGCCCTGATGCCCTTGACAGTCTCTTTATCGCTATTTCCTGCCCATTTGGCAATGTTCCCTAGAAAAGAAAAAATAGGTTAGTAAAGATTTCATTTCATTTGACATACTATATATCAAAACTATGCAGCTGGAAACTAACATTTACCCTGTACACAGGACCAAAACCTCCTTGTCCTAGCAGATTTGCTATATTAAAGTTGTTTGTTGAGGTTGCCAATTCCACAAATTTGAATAATGGTACCTCTCGGAGTTCAACCTTGCTTGTGCTGGTTTTCCCTCTATCAAACAACAATATATCTTTTGTGTTCTCGTTCCTTGCTGAATAAATATGGAGTAAATGTTGCATTAACAGATACTTAGGCTACATTTGAGATTATGGTTAAAAGTTTTTTCTTAGTCATAAAGTGCATTTAGATATATGTACGTTTATTAATTTTTTTTTCAAATTACTTTTTCCAAAAGCTATTGAAAGCCACAATAGATATATAATAATTATATATATAAAGGCAAAAGCTTCATTTTGAAATTTTCTAATTGTGATTTTCACAGATAATATCTAATATTTAATATAATTACAAAATTACCCATTAAAATCCAACATCGTTTAATTTAATTACATCATAATTTATAATATTTTATTTAAACTTAATCTCTTGTTTATTTGAAAATTTCATAAAATGTTAAAAACTTATTCCTTCGTTTTGAGTTGCTCTCCTATGAAATCTAAAAAAACACTCATCATAAAAAACTTAAAAAACCTAAATTATTAAGAAGTAGTAAATGTTATATATTTTAATAATTATACATCATACAATGTTTTTTAAATTTTAATTAATATTTAATAAAATTTATCACATTTCATCCATAATACTTTTAATAAATAAATAATTAAATACTAAAATAACTTCAACTACAATTACAACACAACACAATTCAGTACAACTACAGCTACAATAATAGTTACAGTATCTCACAACAATTTCAAACACACCTTTAATCTTGAGTCATATAGCTCTAATCGCTAAAAGAGATGAAAATGTATGTATATAGAATGTTACCTCTTCTTTTACCCACATGCCTCCTTAGGAAAAATGTGCAGAAGATGCAAATTGTTCCTATGATTATAGCTGTAATTATAATTATTAGTTTTTTCTTTTCCTTTCTATCTGCAAATCAAAAACAATAAAATAAATAATATATTTGTGCAATTAATTGTCACTGTTTCTACTTATAACATAGTTATCTAAGTTCAAATTAAAATCAAAAAATAATTATAAGGTTAAAATAAAAAATAATTATAAGGTTAAAATAAAAGAACATTTGTTTATCTTAAAATATGAAAAAAAAATACTATTAAAAAAACTATTCCTTTTCTTCAACTTTAATAGTTTTTATATAATAAAATAATATAATAATTGATAACATTTTATATTTATTTTAATTAATTATTACCTAAAAAATTTCTTATTTAATATGTATTATAATTATTTTTTAAAAATAAAAATAAATACATTAAATAATATTTTAATAAAATTAAATAATTAAATTTAAAGTACTCAAATTAAAAATTGCGTTTTCTAAGCTTGAAACGGTGGGACTATTATTCAGACAAATTCTTTATTAAAAAACGTTTATTTTAGGAGGAGGGAATAAAATGGATATAGGAGGAGTTTGCAAACCGTTCGCTACCTTCGGTTGGACTTGGAGAAGGAGGTGACAACGGCACAATCGTGTTATTAGTTAAGTCGTCCAAGAATGGATCAATCTCGTATCTTAAGAAACAGCTAGGTTGCAGAATTCTGCACCCGGTATCTCCCAGGCAGAATTCCCCTATCCTGTCGCTGGCCGTCGCCAGACAAGCGCTGCAATATTCCGGGCGCAGATCGGGAGTACACTGCGCTAGGGCATGAATTCTTGAAGGAGAAACGGAGACGTTCCTTGAACCCTCTGCATACTTGAACAGAGAATCTCCGTTAGCCGCACGGCTGCTTAAATCGTTCAATAAGAAACTCAAGTCCCCTCTGAAACCATAAACATCAGATGGCTTCGATTTACTATCATTTCTCCACATTCTATCAAAAGGATCGGTTTCCATGACTCCATAAATTTGTCGGTTTGAGTAGCGTAAAGTACAGAATTCCGACCATCCGATTGCTTCTGTTTTGTTGGGACAGGTTTGTTGGAGCGCGTAGGTGGTGTCTTTCAGGCAACTTCTGCAGATGTCCTCCTTTTTGTCTCCCCTGCAGAGTGCAATTGCGTTGACCTGGTCAGGGCTCTGGCCAACGGACACATTATAGAATCCGTGATTGAAATCCTGATCGACGAGTTTGGAGAAGAGGAGATTGAGGTTGGCCTCGTAGGAACTGTTAGCGATGTTGCTGCCATCACAACTCTTCTGAAAATCAGCAGCAATTCCGGCGGAGGAAGTGAGATTTATGTGAAAAGCAGAGGAAATTAAGAACAGAAAGAGCATTGAAAATCGCATTTTTGCCTAAAAAAGTAGTAAATATATTTTACTCTGTTCAATTTCAGGCTAAATTTGGTAATGGCAGAAGAGGCAAATAAGCCCTTTAAATTAATTGGTATATGAAGGAAAAGTCGTGTAGTCTGGATCAGGTCATCCCATTCACAGCATCCCTGAAATTTCCACTCACAGCATCCCTGAAATTTCCACAAAGCCGCCTTGAATCGGGAAGACTGGGGCTATGGGTTATTGGGTTTTCTTCCTCCTACCCTCTTTTTTTTTTTTTTTTTTTTTTTTTTGGAAAATAGGCACTGGACATTGGGTCTTATGCCAATGGGCCATAGTATAAGGATCATCCAAACATCCAAACATCCAACCAGGCCGGATGGGGAAAGGTCCCTATTGCTTTGTGTATTTTACCTCAAGTTTCTACGAGTATTAGTTTTTATTTTTATTTTTTAAGGTCCTACAAATTTTTAATTTTATTTTTAAGAACAGAAAGAATTTTGATATTAGAAAACTTATGAGAAATTTGTGAAATGGATCACACATTGAAAAAGTGAGGACAATTTTTTTCATTTAAAAATGAAAATGTACAGCAAAAAAATTATTTGTCAGGAATTATGTTAGAAAATTACCCAATATATATATATATTAGAGAAAATTAAAATTAAAATGTTAAGGTTTATTTTCCTTTTTGGTCCTTAAATGTTTGTACCGAATTAATTCCTAAACTCGTATTGACACGTGGGCCGTATTGTTAAGTTGGAGAAATTTTTTCCACGTCAGCTTCTTTCCCTCGTATCAATTACTCCCTGTCCAATAATGACAATTTTTTTAAAATTTTTTCCTTAAATTTAATATTTATAAGTTATTTATATATTTATTTACATTATTTTTATAAAAAGTTTAAAAAATAAAATAAAAATTTAGAATGCATTTGTAAGAGAGGGTGATGAAAACATGAAGGGGTGTTTGCTTGTGGAGTAACTTTTTTCATAATTTTTTTTAAAA